ATAAAAATGAGCTAAAAAAATGTCAATTTATAAAATATATGGTGATGATGATAATGATTCATCTAGTCAATCTTCTAATACATCTTCTCATAAAAGAAATAGATCAATTTCTAGATTAATTGATGAAGAAGATATTTCTATTTTTCAATCTTCTAATACACCTCATAAAAGAATAAATAGGTCGATTGATATTTAACTGATAAAGAAAATATATTAACTTCTAGGCCATCAACCTCTCATAATACTAGAATTAGATATTAAGATTCACAAAGTTCTATTTTAGATACATTTTATTAATTCAGAATATAAGACAAAATGGGAGAATGATCAATATCAACTTCAACTAGTCAAATTATAGAAATTATCAAACATGAATCCAATGATAGATATCAAGAAGATTTTGATTCTACTTTTTTACCTCAGAGATGTATAAGAAAATATACAAATTATCCAAATCTGATATATATCCTTCTGATAATCCTGAAACAGAAGCTGATCAACCTTCAGAATCTTTAGAATTTCCACTGAAGAAGATTATATTACAGATGAATCTGAAGATGATGATATTTCTGTAGAGGATGATTTTAAAACATTTGAAGATTATGCATTACTAGATTATGAGCCATTTTAAAATCCATTAAATATAGAATCAATTGATAACTGATTTTTGTGAATTTTACTTTAGATCATGTCATTTCAGACAAGATTTAACATTACAGAGTCTGCAACTGAGGCATAAATAAAATTTATGAAATTGGTTCTGATAAAAATCAGAGGTGACAAATTTAGAAATTTTCCAAATTCAATATATTTAACGAAAAAAACACTTGGATTAAATGACTGATTTTACCATTTTGTTTCTAGTTCCAAATGTTATAAACTGTATCAAAAACAGGAAGTGGTGAATTTTTAACAGAATAATATGCTGACTGTAATGAAATATTAGTATATAAAATTTTTCAATTTTTCAATTCATAAAATATGATTTTACAATACTCCATTATCTCAAAAAATCGTATTGACAAATCGAACTTTAATTTGAACTAATTTAAATCTTTTCATTTTCTGGAATTTGATAACAACTCACTTTTATATATCATTGGCCTAATTTTGAAATTAGCCTGAGACAATGGATAAATCATCAGTACTTTAACAACATTATGACTAATATATATGATAATGAAGTGTGGCAGATGTTAAAGAATCTTCACAAGAAAATTTGGCAAATTTTTTTAAAATGAAGTGACCAATTCTCATCTTGGATTAATGCTAAATCTCGATTGATTCTAACTATATAGTGATACTATTTATAGCATTAGAGTAATATATACTATTATATGCAATTTGTCTTATAATATCTAATTTAAACGTAAAATTTACTGACATTTGGTCTTTTATCTAGACTAAATGAAGTCAGTGTACATAAAATAAATCACTATTTAGCACTGATTGTAACTTTAATTCTTGTTTTATGTGATATACCAGCCGCTAGAAAAATATGTAGACATATTTTGGCCTTAGTATTATATTATAGATGCGAAAAGAAGGCAAATTATAAAAATCATCAGCATAATTTTGTCAGAATAGATAATATTGATGATTAATTCATTATACAAGATCTAATTGAGTAATATCAAAATGTATTAGAATGGAAATGCTGTAATTTGAACACTTTATAAAAATGATTTGTAAAGCAAAGTAGCATAAGATAGTCTGAATTATTATGTTTGCTATATTTTAACCTTATAAAATATATCATAATCGATCTAATACATTACCTATTTTTAGGCATTTTATGATAGATAATAAAATGAATCTGAATCAATAAAGGGATTTAACATTAAATTTCCTGAATAAAAATCAGAAAAAGATGAATAAGTTTCAGATTCCTTCCAATCTGGGTTAAATTCTAGGTAAAATTCATGAAGAAAAAGGATTTTCTAACTTTATGGCTGATCAGTGGTGAATATTTTTTACTGTATATGCCACTGTTTCATTTTAGAAATATCTTCTGATTGTAGATAGAAAGATTCTTGCATATTTCATAAGGATTTGTACAATTTTAGTAAGCTAGATTGTAGAATTAGATCTATTATGAAGTATATCGAAGACTAATTGAGATGGTGAAATTGATTGAAAATAATCATAGGCATAACAAAATCATATCAAATCTTTACTTTTATCTCCATTTATACAATTGTTCAAGAGACTATAGTCTATTATATCTGTTTTGGTATTTTTCTTTTGAACATATGAATGGAATATTTGGTATTTTTTTTTTTTGAGAATTTCTTGAATAAATCAGCTTATTCATTTATGAACTATTTTTAGGTTCTTTACTGAATAGTAATAGAAAAATCAAATATGAGCTAATGCATTGATTGATATTTAATATTCAAATTGATAGTATTACAAGTTCCAGTAGTATTGAGGTAAAAGGGCTTGAATTGCTAGATAATTAGCCTTCAATTAATTCCCTTTTGGATACAGATGAATTTTCTTCTTACAAAATCCATCAGTTTTGAATGAATTCACAAAATATTAAGAAATCAAATGTTATTGATAGTGAACCATTTCTAGCAAATTCCTTAAACTATTATCTGATAATATAATTATTTCAAATAAAATGCTTGATTTGATGGTTGAATACTACAATACAATTTACTATATATCATATTTGATTTTAGGAAGCTATTCAATAAGGATTCAGAAGATGGTATAATGATTCAGGTCAAAATAAATTAATTCAGAAAGTACTGAATTGGTTCTGAAATCTTTAGATCATCAATGTCTTTGTGACATATAAAAAATTCATACATTTTAGCTAAATTTATTACAAAAGATAATACAGTTGATTGTTATTCTGGTCAAGTCCAATATTAATTTACATATAAGGTCGATTTGTCATCCAGATAAGCTGAACATTTTCTAGAATTTGTTTATTGATATAAATCTGCAAGTTCTCCATATTATTTTAGTGAAAAAGAAATATGTAATGTTGAATTTTAAATACTAAATTTTATCTAAAAAGTCATGATTATATAATACTAATTCATCATATTTTAGGTCAATTTGTATAATTAACTATCAAATTTCAATCTAGCGAAATGTAAAAGAATATTTAGCTGTTAATCCAATTAATAGAAAATACTATTTATTGAAAATAAATTAAATGTTTTTAACATTATTTGGCTATTAATCCTAAATCTCAGTTATATTTCCTTTCAAATTTTATTTTATTTTGAAATATTTTAGCCAATTTTTAATATATATCAATCAGATGTAAATTAGACATTAATCAGCTATAAATAAGATAAGTTGAATTTTAGCTGATTCTTAGCTAATTTCTAATATATGCCAATTGAGCATCAATTAGTTATAAATAAGATAGGTCAAATTTTAGCCAATTTTTGATGTATATCAATCAAATGTAAATCGGATGTCAATTGGCTATAAATAAGATAGGTCAAATTTTAGCCAATTTTTGATGTATACTAATCAGCAATAAGTATGCCAATTAGTTATAAATAAGATAGGTCGAATTTAACTGATACTTGGCTGATTTCTAGTGTATACTAATTGGCTAAGCTGATTTTTTGATAATTTGCCAAATTTAGACTGATTTTAGGCTGATTTTCACATGTCTGATTTTTTTGATTTTGACCAGTGAAAAGAATAGAATTTAATTAAATATTTGATTGTGTTATATAAATATGCAAAAGAATGTTAGTTTGCCAAATGTTAGTATAAAATTTTTAATACTACAAATTTTTGAAACCAATTTCCAATCTTACTATTTTTGTTGATTTGTCATTAATAATTCCTTTCTCTAATGTTATGATAAAATGAGTATTTTCTAAATAAAATTTGATTAAAACTATTCTTGAAAATAGAATGTGTATTGATACTTTTAATATGCATTTACATATTTCTTTAAATAGTCCTAAAAATTTTGAAAATTTTAATTATCTTGAAGCTTATAATTATTAGGCTTTTAAAGATCATGCTATTTGATAGTGTATAATTTATGTAAATAAAATTTGATAGTGATATTATATTATCAATTGCTAGTTGAATATTTTCTTTATAAAATTATTTTTAATGAATAATTTATATTTCAAATTTTTATTAATTCAAAAATAATAATTTAATAAATACTATTTATTTAAATTTAAATTTTATTAATTTTTAATTACAATTTTTAAAAATTCTTTTTTAATAGAAAAATATGCTTACAAATAAAGTCTAAATTATCATGAAGAACCTTACAAGTTTTATCTTATCAAAGATAGAAAAATAATATTATAATTATAAAAGAAGGCTTATTTTAGAATCTGAAAAGAAAAAAATCCATTCTTAAAAAAAAGAAAATTTAATTAAAAATTGTAAATCTACTTCAAAAATCACCATTTATAAAGATTACCTTAAGATGAAAAGAAAAAATTACATTCTAAAAAAAAGTTAATTAAAAATAGAAAAGAATCAAAAAGAATTTTCTTTATAGAATTACTTTGAGATTTGAAGAGAAAATTCTATTCTTAAAAAATTGAAAAAAATTCTCTTGCAAATTACTTATAGATCTAAAGAGAAAAAATTAAAAAATAATAATACAAAATAAAAATAAAAAATAAAAACCAGAAAGAATCATCTGCTATTTAGATATGAAGAAAAAATTTTAATTAAAAATTGTAAAATAGAAAATTATTCTGAAAAATCACCCTTTATAAGAATTATCTTAGAATTTAAAAAGAAAATTCCATCCTAAAAAAAATTAATAATTATAGAAAAGAATAAACCCATTCCAAAATATCTTTCAAAAAACTCACTGATAAAATTTACCAATTAAAAAATTTATTGAAGAATCTCCCAATAAAATTCTGAAAAAAAGATACAGTTCTATTCTCGAGAATAAAAAATCCGCTCTTAAAAAAAAGAAAAAAAATAGTAAAAAAGAATACCAAAAAGAATCCCAAAAGAATTTGAAAAGAAAAGATTTATCTCTATCTGAAGAATGAAAGATCCGCTCCTAAAAAAATAAAAAAATGTTATTAAAAAAAATACATTCAAAAAAATTTCCTGATAAAATCCTGAAAAGAAAAAACTTACTCTTATTTATAAGAACAAAAGATCTATTTTTAAAAAAAGAAAGTTAATTAAATAAACTTCTAAATAGTATTCAATTGCTTATTCTAAATCAGTAGTTGACATTCTTATCTTTATCTTTGATTACTTTTCAATTTCATTATTATTCCTTTTCTTTTATATTTTATCATCATCATATAAAATCAAATAATTATTTTAAAAGATTTCTTATTATATTTGGATTTATTTTCTTTAGGTGATGAAATATCGTTAATCCATATTTTAGACCTTAGAATATGTAATATATACTCATATTTATAAGTACTATTTTTAACATTATCATCTTTCTTCAATTTCTTTAAATTCTTTTTTTCAGCTTTAAGCTCTTCTAACATTATATCACTAAAAGAGTAGTCTTGACTAAATAATAATAACTCTCTGATATTAAACTAGATAACACGTTATATTAAATATTCATTATCTTAAAGATCTTTAGCTTTTTCTTTATGAATCTCTATATAATTCTACTTATTTTTTAACAATCTGTTTAAATTCTACCATTTTTTTGTAATCTATTATTTTGTTATTTTGTTTATTCAAATACTCAAGGGTTTTGCAAACATTTAAAATAGAAGGTACATAACTGTTTTTACAAAAAAACGAAAGTCTCTTATAATAGCTCATCACTATTCCTTCCCAATATTGTTAAGAAACCATAAGAGAAAATGCATAATCACTAACCAATAATTTTTGTAATTGTAATCTTGAATCTTCAGTATTATGCTCTGTTGAAATGTTATTTACCCAAATATATTCAAGGACAGGTTTTTCTTTGGTAGATAAAACTCCTCTTTTTTATCTTTTTTTTATCTTAGTAAGTTTCGCTAAACTTGCATTATACTATGTCTAATTATAAGCTGTATCATTTTATCTGTATCAAGATATGCTGAAATGTGATGATAGTTATTTTCAAAGAATCCCTTCTAAAGATTACTTTAAAGACTCGCTTTTAAATTAATAAAAAAAAATAATAATAATTAAATAAATTTTAAAATTAATTAAAGATGAATAAGAAAAAAATTAAAAAAAAACAAAAGTAATCAAATTAAATTAAAAAAAAAAGAAATTAAATTAAAAAAAAAAAATTAAAAAAAGAAAAAGAAAATTGAAAAAAAATAAATCAAAAAGAATTAAAAAAAAAAGTTAAAAAAAGAAAAAGGAAAAAGGGAATTGAAAGAAAAAAAAAACCAAAAAAAATTAAAAAAAAAAATATTTTAAAAAAAATCAAAAAAGAATTAAAAAAAAGAAAGGGGAAAAGGAATCAAAGGAAAAAAATCAAAAGAATTAAAAAAAAAGAAAAAAGGAAAAAGTGAATTAAAGAAAAAAAAATTTAAAAAAAGAAAGGAAAATCAAAAAAAAAGAAATTAAAAAAAATAATTAATAAAAAAAGAAGAAAAGAAGAAAAGGAAATCAAAAAAAAAAAATCAAAAAAAAAAAGGAATTGAAGAAAAAAAAATTTTAAAAAAAAAGGGAATCGAAGAAATAAAAGTCAAAAAGAAATTAAAAAAAAAATGATGAAAAAATTAAATTAAAAAAAAGAAATTAAAAAAGAAAAAAAATAAAATTAAAAAAAAAGAAGCTTATCAAATTGATTGAAATGATTAATAATTAAAATTAATGATTTTTGAGAATGAGGTTTACTTAGTGCTAATATTTAATGAATTATATACAGTATTTATAGCAAATTTTATAAGTTATAGGATACCTGATAAAATTTTTACTGAGAAGTTGCTGAGTTCTCAGATTCGCAGATTATCAGCAAATTAAAATAAATAATAAACATGTGATTTGTATGCTAATTAATGAGAAATTTTAAGACCTATGAAGCTACATTAGAATTAGAAATAGATACGCTATAGGATTCAATTCTTTTAGTTGATTCTATATTAATAAAATAAGATAAATGTTAGGTAAATATTAAAAATAAAGTTTAGTAATTATTATTATTAAATTTATTGATATTTTAATATAAAAAAATCGAATCCATTTTTAATTTTTAATAAATATAGCTAATAGGTGAATTTTATGATCATTGTTACCAATCTTGTTCATATTTTTTTCAATAAATAAATGCGGTCAAGATGATTGTGAGAGTTGTTATCTTGAAGGTAAATATGAATAAGCTTAAATCAATTCATTAAAACTTATAAATAAATAGATTATATTTGAGAAAATTAATAAAAATCATGGATCAGAAAAAATTATTAAATACCTTGAATTTGAGAAAATCTATGGATCAGAGAAAATTAATAAAAAAAATTTTGGTGTCAAATATATAAATAAAAACTATAGATCATCATTTACTCAAAATATAAATAGTATTACATATATATATCAGTATTTTTGTACAACAAGAAATAAAATACAATTAATTTATAATGATGAATTTTTATTTAAAGTTTTGTCTCAATACTTATCCAATTTGTTTTATTTACTTAGATTGTAAAAATGAATATAGTTAAAAATGTACTAGCTAAGCAAGAGAATTGAAGTGGAAAAGAAAAAAAATTGAATATGATTATATTGTAAATTTTTACCATAAACCTTTCACATAATAAGATACTATAAACTAAAAGATTACGTTAGATAAAGAATTTGAGAATAGGTTTTTACTAGTATTTCTTTGCTTATCATACTTTTATTGCATTCAAATAATATAAATATTTGTATAAATTGTATGAATAAATATTGTAAAGGTATTATTTTATATAAATTTTTTTTAAAGTATTTTTATTATATTATAATGTAATTACTTAAATTATTAAGATACAAAGAATCACAAATCAGCAAAAATTACAAATTCTATTTCTAAAATTAAAGATTGTATTGATCTAACTGATCCTATTTTATCAAAATCAAGTTTATCATTAATATTAACTTCTAAAATATTTTTTATATCACGTAAATATAATCTTTTTTATTTTATAATTTATATTATTAATTATTTTTATAAACTTACAAATTAAATTTTAATTTAGAATATATTACATTAGTTTGCTTTAATAAATATAAATAATCACGTAAAAACTTGATGAAGCAATTGATATTTCTTATTGCTTAGATGATTTAAATACATTTGGACAAATAAAAAAAAAATATTATCTCATAAACTGCTAGCTGAATGGGAAGAAATAGAACTTGGTCTTATATGTTATCAGAAATCTTCTAGTATTAAGGTAGAACATTTTAATTTAAAATTTAATAAAGCTATTGCAACATTTGTTGCAGAATGCAAAAAAAGAAAGAATGTTCAATTATGTGTATATTCTGCAAAAAAAATTAAAAGAAAACAAATAGTTTGTAGAAGTTTTGTGATAAAGGATGATATGAAGAATCTTTATCAAAATAAAATCATATATGATATATATTTTATTATTCTTATATTTTATTTATTATAATATGTATTTTTTATTTAATAAAAGATTTAATTTGAAGATATCAGATGCTTTTTCATTATTAAAAAATATGAAATTAGAAATATATTAAAATTTTTCTAAGTGTGAATATCATATTCAAGATTGTTTGATTGCTAATAATAGACGTCACCTTAAATTAAATAATGAAATAATTACAATATGGGTAAAAATAATAGTAAAAAATATTTTTTAATTATAAATATTATAATTGAATATTAAAATTTTTTTATTATTAAATTGCTAAAATTAAAGGAGTAAATGCAACTTATCCACCTTTAATTAAAATTTTTGATAAAATTAATTATTGTTATCCAAATTTTAAAAAACCTTTAGAAGATTATAATAATATATATACTAATGGTAATATTTTATATTGTATTTCTAATTTATTTATCATTATTATATAAAAAAAGAAAAAAATAAACTAAAAAAAAATTTAAATAATCTTTTATAAAATAAAGATTTAGTTTTATTTACTTCTATTACTCTAACTACAATTCTAATTACATTAATTACATTATCAAAAAAAATAAAGCCTAACTTAATTACTGTTCATCTTAAAAAAAATCACTATACAAATCTAATATTCAGGTAACAAAAGGCATGAAATTTTTTGATCTTATTAATTTTGTATTTTCAATGAATTCCTTACAAGATAAAAGATTTATTGTAAAATTTTCAATTAATGAAGATAGAAAAGTTTTTTTATTTGATCAAATGATTAAAGAAGTTTTTTTGAATAACATATTAAATTGTGGATTGATATAAAAAAAACTACAATTGATTTTAATGAACTTTTTAATGAATATTTTATTATTATTATTATTATTATTATTATTATTTTATTTTATATAAATCTATAATTTTATAAAATTTTATTCATTCAAATATATTTTCTATGTTAAAAATATGCTTTTGATAAATATTTATCAATGGTTATATATGCTAAATCTAAATCTTGTATAAAATCTTACATAGATTTAATTTAATTTTGATTTTAATGTAAATAACTTTAATGTAAAAAAATGCTTGTTTAATCTATAATTAATTGTAAATAAATAAGTTAAAAAAAATAAATAAAAATAAAAAAAAATGACAAAAGCTGCAGTAATTAATATATTAAAGTTCTTTTTTATTATAAATTTCTTATATACTGGATTTAAATCTGATGAATATGGTAGCAAAAATTCAATTTGAACTCCTTTTATATTATAAATATCAAGTAAATGCTATCCTTTATGTATAAAAATATTATTTAATATCAAAATACTATAGAGATGAAAATTTTGATAAAAAAAATTAATTTATAATAATATATATTAAAAATATTTATGAAAATAATAATATATACCAAAACATGTTTAATGAAATAAGTATAATCATTACTATTCATAAGACTTTCTTGAATTGCATATGCTAGAAGACCATTAAGATATAATGCTTTTTTTATATTATATTATTTTTATGAATAAAAAATGGGTGTTATATGCACATTTTCCTTTAAAATTCTATTTATAACGTCAAAAAAGTATTCTTCTATCATATTTAGACTCATTAGAAAATACAAGTTGTATTAAAGAATATTATAATATATGAACTATAAAATTTAATCTATCATTTTTATTACGTTTTATTACTGGTTTAGATAACTAAATATAATAAATAAAGTTGATAAATAAAACTGTTTATAACTATAAAAATATTTAGAAAAATTCTTTACCTATTTATGGGTATAACCAAGACGATATATTGCTCTTCAAATAGTATAATAGCTAATATGATGTCTTAACTATAACTCCATTTCAAATTGTAGTTCCTACAAATACCAGTCTACTCTTTTTTTCAAAAGATTTTCTAAATATTTTATATTATCAACTTTAAGTATTCTTATCTGTCCTAATGCTAACGATAAATTCTCTACACATCCATATTTTTGAAATTTCAGAAAAACTCTAAAAATTAAAGATTTACTAATATTAAGTTACCTTATATCACATGATAATAAAATCAAATATTGATCTTTTTATTATATAACGTTTGATTTCAATTGATTTAAAGTAATAAAAAAAGATTGATAATATTTTAAAAATTAATCTATCAATGCGCAGATTTTTTACATTAATATATTGTTCATTTCTTTCTTTATATTTGGAAAAAAAAGATTTGAAGATCTCTGCTTTTAAGAATATTAAATGAGAATCAAAAATTTAAGATTAAAATTATACATATTACAATATATTTTATTTAATAACTTATAATTTATCAAGTTTAAAATATTTTTTAAGTCTACAAATATTTTTTCTATTATTGCTACTTTTTCATTATCTAATATAATAAACTATTTACCTTTTTATAATCTTTTTATATAGGATTTTACATTAAAGATAACACCCTTTTGATAGAATTTTTACAATTATTATTTTGTTCTGAAAAATATTTATGATGAAAAATATGATTATATATAAATATTATACCTATTTCTTAATCTAAACATTTACATTAATAACAAATATATTTAGATAGTAATTTAAATGTATGATATCTAGTGTATTTATAATTTTATTTTTTAATTTAATGTTATAAGTTCCTACTTTTTTTCTAATTTTTATGATTATTATAAAAAATATAAATATATTTGATATTTTTATATTTTGATTTAACGTTAATTCAAGAATTTTTATATAAAAAATTTATAAAAAAATAGCCAAAAAATATTTTTTAATTGTCTAAATCTAACCTTTCTATTTTGGTAATTTTTATGACGATCAATTTTATACCAATCAAAATTAATAATTATGTGATATTTCAAAAATGATCATCACAAAATTCAACCAATAAAATCGCAGATAAGTTAAATGTCACAAAAATTTTATTTTGATCTTTTTATATTACGCGTCAAGTTCGCGTACTTTGTATACTAACTCATTTTTATAAACTTTTTTTATAATCAAACAAAAACATATATTACTATTTTTTTTTTGTTCAAGTTCTCTGTACTTGTTACGATATTAAAAAGAATTCTAATTCAATAATGTCTACCTCTGAAAAAAAAAATACTTTAAATTTATTCCTTGCAGTTTTAGTCGCTGGAAAATTTCGTTACCTGCCTTGCTTTCAATACGAAGATGTGGGCATACGTGGGACTTTTAAAAAAATTTCACTATACTTTGAATGAAATGAATAGTGATCAAACTTCTTCACAAGAAATCCTTAAACGTACTAGAATCTTTTGAAAGTGAAAAAGGTTAGTTGATTATTGAAGATAGTCAAACAATGGATTTTTGCTAGGCACTTGCAGCCCTTGAACGTTACGTCCCAATGATGTTCTAACGAGTGTGAATCAGTATCTCTGCAAGTGGCTTTGGTTTTTTTTCCGGTCTCTTGCACCTCTTGTTATGTTAATGTCCCTCAAGGGGGAGATCTGGTCTTGCAAGTAGATGCGGTCCTCTGATTCTGTGAGATGGGATCGGTTATGTACTTTTTTTGGTATGCTTGCATCTAGCCAGTATTTACTCACCATATAATTCTCTTTATAAATCTGACTCTAAAAGAGTGAGTAGGATGCTGAATAGTGAAAGTTTTCGAAAAATCTTTTGTGATATTACAAATGAGCATGTATAAAATAACATATAGATTTAAAGATGAAGGCAGGTACCTTATCCACATTATCCAAAGGAAAAAAAAAAATAGACTCGGATGCAGATGCAGATAACTCATCCACATTGATCAAAAGGAAAAAAACAATAGTACAGAGTAAGATAATTTTGACATCTTCTGGGAGTTCTTTTCATAATATTTTTCATTCTTATATTGGTTTGTTTGTTTATAGGGAAGCTTAGTCAAAAACAAGCATTATCTTGTGTCCAACCATCTGTTACATATCCTTTGGATACTAGTAAATCACGAAGTACTATGCATATGGAAGGTGTAATGTCAGCAACTGTATACAATTGGACAGGATTTTTTAATAACAAATCGTACAGCTTTGATCGAAAACCAAAATTCGATGAACCAGAATATACCATACATATTAAAGATGATGATTTTTCTTTATGATATTGAACAATCTTTTAGGGAAAGATTATATTTTTTCAAAACAAACCTCTGACTTTGCCTATAAATGAAGACCAGATGCCACTTTCCGTTACGAAAATAAAATAATTATTCTGATTGAATTTAAGAGGCAACTAGTCTTAATGTTAAATCATGGACAGTTGGATCATTTTTCTGACAGTAAGTCAAAGAATGTAGTTCAAATTTACTCTTATATGGCAGATCTAGAACTTCAGTAAGGAATACTTTCCACCTATGACAATTATTGGTTCCTATATCGGCCGAAAGATAATCCATCTGAACTTCAGATTTCACCTACTCTTTCACTTAGTTTAACACTACCACCAGTTTTAAAAGCCTATGCATATTTGGCACATATTGCAAAAGATGATTCTGAATCTTCATATCCTATATAATTCCTAAAATCGCAGATGATCCATCATTCATCAGATTGGCCGGATTGACGGGATTTTAAAATAGTTTTTTTTAAAAAAAATGTTTCGTATTTACAACTTTGGGTAAGTTTTAATAGTTAGTTCTTTAGTTTTTTTATTTGAAGAATATTATTACTAACACATCTTTTTCTTAAATAAACATAAAATACCCTAGTACAAAGGTCTGGAACCTTGAAATCTTGAAGTCGAATCAGAAGTAATATCAATAATACACTACTTACCTTTGTAGACCAATCCGGAACATTAAGAGGTAAGTACCTAATTGAGTGGAATATTTTGTTTAGTTATTTGATTTTATTATTAGCAAAAAAAAAAATTAAACTTACCTTTGTAGGATCCTTGAAGCCTTGGGTTGGACGGATTGGAGGCAAATTTCAATGAACTTTTTTTTTTAATATAAAAAAAAACTAATGCTAATATTAACTTAGCTTTGTAGATTAAATCCGGATCCTTGAAGCATTGAAACAGAATTTTTTGTTTAATTTTTAAATAAAAACTTATATAGCTTACCTTTTTATACCGATCTGGAATCTATAAACTTTGGAATCTTGGATTGGAAATAAGTCCTAATGGAATAATCGTCGTTTTTTTTTTTTTTTTTTTTTTTTATAAAAACTAATACTAATTACTTGTTCAGACTTGAGGTAATGGAGACGAAATGTATCTTTTTAACTAATTTTCTTTAAAAATATTTTACTAGCGTTTGTTTGTTTATTTTTGTTAGAACGCGTGGGTGTGTTTTTATTAATTTATGTTGTTCTTTTTAGGGAACTTCGGAATTATCATTGTAGATTCATGACTAATTATATTAGTAATTTACTTATAGAATATTAAATTAATTTCATGTGATACCGTATGTAAATCTTTGGTGCTATTAAATAAAATTTTCTAATTCTTATATTTCAATATATGTTATAATCTTTTTAACAAATGGGTATAGGCAGTAATGAAAATAATCTTGAAAAGTTATAAACTTAAAATATTTTCTAATAAAGTTATATTAATATTTTATATTTATTAAGATATTATTAATTTTTTATATTTGCAGATAAATTTTCCTATTATACAGTTTAAGAATAAGTTAACTTTGAAAAAATATTATAAAAATGGAAGTCAAAGGAATTTAATAAATTATTTGGCTAAAAAATATCAAATTACTGAAAAAATAAAAGATAAAATTTTGTGATAAATAAAAATTATAATTTAATTTTTTTTTTTTAAGATTTTATTTAATAATTTAATAAATCATTAAATTGAAATTATTTCTTATAAGAAATTATATCAAAATGAATTTTGTAATTTATTAATAAATTAAATAATTATTAATATGTAATCATTAATTATTATACAATCTAAATCCTTTTATAAACTAATAAAAATATTAATATTTATTACAAAGTAAAAGTGTGTGTGTGTGTGTGTGTGTGTGAAAATCTAATTTCTGAAATAAAAATCCCACCAAAAAAAAGAAACATTTTAATTTTTTATATAATACTGATAATCTGAAAAAGTAATTATAGATTTTGATATAACTCGTTGCGTTCCGAGAGAAGCTATCAAATATCCTCTTATATGACTTCTCCCTGTTCCACCTGTTATTCTATTATCTGCTACACCAACTCCATCATTATAAACTTTACCTTTACCTTTACTGATTACCTTAATGTATTTGCTTGATACTTCTTATCATAATTGATTTATATTTTTGTTCGTCTTTACACCAATAAGTATAATTTCTTTCTAGTAATAATTCCTCCGATTCTTGCTGTAATATTTTATCAAATTCTTCTAAAGACGTGTTCTGGATGTGTCACCCATTGACATGTATACAAATTTCCAGAATAAAGTACAATTAAATTAAATAATTTTAATCCAATTACAACAACACAATCTTGTCCTAAGTTATTATCAGGTAAAAAAATATCTGAAAAACCATAAGTAATCTCACAATTTTGCGAATTTTCTTTATATTTCGTAATTAGTTGTAATTCAGAAATATATCTTATGGAAATATTTCTTAATAGCACCTCAATAGCCGTATGAAAAGCGATTTCATTATATTCGCGATAAGATCCTAGTGCCTTATTCGTGATATTGTAAAATTTCATCGACAAAAGGTTTTAAATTTCCGTTCATAATTTCATAAAATGGTTCATATTTCTTAATCTTTAATTAGTATAAAAATTTTTCGTTAATAAATATTATAAATATTATTAATAAAAAATAAAATTAGAAAAATTAATTGGCATCACATGCAGTCTAACGACTGCCTCTCCTGTAAATAAAATCTACAAGATAGTGTAGAAGCCAAAGACAAATAAAATCACGTAGTTATTTCAATAAATAATACATTTTCATCATATAAATTTATCAGAAAAATTAATCGGCACCACATGCAGTCTAACGACTGCCTCCCTTGTAATATACAAGATAGTGTAGTAAGCCAATAAATAATTATTTTCATCATATAAATTTATCAGAAAGTCTTAATTGTCCGATCTCAATCATCTTAAGATAACAATATAAATATACCTACTTCATAATTTGTCTTAATTATTTGCCATAAAAATTCATATTCTTCAACAGTAATTTCTGTTTTTTCTATTTCTATATATTAAAATCATTAATTTAAAATTTATTAAAATCAAATAAATAATATGATTGATCATTTGTAAAATTAAATACCTGTTTTTAATTTTTGTATAAATTCCATAATTGCTAGTGTTGGACCTGTCGCCATACCATTTCTATAAAAATCTTCTTTTTGGAATATCAACAAACTAGCTCCGGAAATTTTTGACTTTTTTAATATTTCTAAATCTATTTCGTCTAGATTTAGTTCCTGTCTTCGCAAAATTTCGATAACATTGTTATTTGATAACTTAACAAGATGTTTTTTAAATGTAGTTTCCATTATAAAAAAATTTTTCGTTCAAAAGGAGATAAAAATTTTACTTTAAAAAAAAAATTTTCGTTCAAAAGGAGATAAAAATTTTACTTTAAAAAAAAAATTTTCGTTCAAAAGGGGATAAAAATTTTACTTTAGAAAAAAATTTTTTTTTTTATTTTAGCGCAATAAAAATTCTGATCAATCTGGATGAGTCATCCGCAGATTATCCATTGGATAGATCGGATGGATCTGATGGATCCGATGAAAAATTAATTTTATTTTTGAACTTTTTACTCCGAAACAGGGACGATGAAATTATACTAAAACAAAATTATGAAATAAAATTGATATTCGTATGTAATTATCATTCTTATTATTATTTAATAGTCAACATTATTAACACAAGTAAAAAATAAAAAATAAGAGTCATATAATTATTTTATTTGTTGCACTCAAAACAAATATTATTTGGCTAATCACTTATATTTGTAAGTTTGGTTTGGTCAAAGTCTAATTCTTCCGTGATTGAGTACATATTTATTGGCGTTAGTTACTTCGGGTATTCTTCTTGCAATAATCAAATTAAGCATTATTATTATCCAATAACGCGCTTTCTAATGCATCCGATCTATTCAAGCAGCAATTTGAGCAATATTCGGGTTTTGTGATTCTTCATAGAAACTTGCCATATACCTTATTGTACTTCTTGGAGTAAATTGGATGAAGCATATCCGTGTCTTGGCTTTTATTTTATCGCATATTTTATCAAATTTTTTTTTGCAATTTTAGCGGCCATACTTCTCAAGCTAGATTTCTCCAACCTACCGCTGCATTTCTGGCTATCGATCCTTCAGCTGATGTTGCTATAACATCATCTGCAGCACCAATTTCGGCAGCAAGATTGGACGGTTCGATGGATTCCGCGGTGGCGATCTCACCTACCGCTGCGTCGGTAACTAAACCTCCCACTAAACCTCCCACAGCTAAAAGAACTATGAAAACGACTATAGGAACTAAATACTTTTTGAGCAAATTTTTTTTTAAACGGTGACGGCGATTTCTCATTCCCAAGGTAATGTAATAATTGTTTCATATTTAGTGTAACTTTCAAAAAACCATTAAATGGTCCTTAAATATAGTTTCGTAGACATTTCAATCAGACATGTCCTCCCAACAAGATGATTGTATGGTAAGTAAGCTAATAAGGAAACCACATTCGATATTTGGAGTATGTTTAGATTGTGGAAAGGAAAGAAGCGATATAGAATGGTGTAAAGATTGTGAAGTTAGTGCCTTAAAAGGAAATTTTCGAAAATGGACAAGTGGTAACCTTGACATTGATAATTTTATTCAATACACACAATCGAATGCAACTGGAATTGTAGATTATTTAGAATATATTGATATTGAACAACTACATTTTGTGGAAAAAGCAAATCAAAGTGATGTCACCACCACAATTTATTCAGCAATTTGGATAGAAGGACCCCGATGGTTATGGGATAAAGACGCCGAAAATTGGTCACGAAATGGACCCACAAAAGTTGCTCTAAAAAAAATTAATAATTCACCATATACACGTGAAGATTACTTAAAACAAGTAAGTTATGACAACTTTATTTATTTAAATATTTATCTTTTAAAGATAATAACGAACATTTAATTAAATTTTAAATGAAGCTTTATAAATATCACCAAATGCGAGAACGGTGAAAACTTTTATGGGGTAACCAAAGATTATAATTCAAATTATATGTTCGTTATGAAATATTATGAATATTATGAAAATCGGGATTTATATTCATATATTGATGAAACTCAAGGAATACTTTATTGGAAAGGTACCATTGTAATGCTTTGGCAGATATTGGGAAGAATGGTCGACTTTCATGAAAAGGGAATAATTCATGGAAATCTACACAGAGGTGAAATATTGGTTGAAGTTGAAAATGGTTCAGCTGAAAACGTTTATATCCCAAATATTGAACCATATTTTTTCGTTCGATACGAGAAATTCAAATGAGATATATGGAGTCCTTCCTTTTATCGCTCCTGAAATCTTACTCGGAAATCCACCAACAAAGGCCTCAGATATTTTTAGTTTTGGTATTATTATGTGGACACTTTCTGCAGGTGTTTGTCCATGGCGTAATAGGCCACATGATCTTGAATTAGCTACTGGAATTTCTTCTGGTCTTCGTCCTGAAATTATTGACGGAACTCCGGATTTTTACGTTCAATTAATGACAAAATGTTGGCACGCCGATCCTTCAAGTCGTCCAACAGCATCTGAATTGTATGAATTATTAGGTTCTTGGATAGATGTTATTGATAACTATATGTTATTCAAATTAACCGAAAAATCTGTTACCGTGAAAGAGAAAAAAATTCCGGGTATTGAAAATAAATTTCGTCGGGAAAGAATCATCACGAAGCTGTTTACACAAGCAGGTCCTTGTGTTTTCCTGAATTAATTTCACAAAATCCATTATTAACAACAAAATATTAAGTCGACGACGACTAACTCAACAACGAAATATAAATTGGCATCGATATTTTAAATTTTAAATTTAAACCCTAATAACATAGCTATGCAATAAGTTTAAATTACGTTTTGTTTATTAAGTTTAACTAACAATTGTACATAAGTTGCTAGTAAAATCCTATTATTAAGTTTAATCATTACTTTTAAGCGTTTGGCGGTATATTATTTTTTTTTTCTTTGATGTGATATTTAGAAATATTTAGAATGCTTGATTCAAATAAAAGACTTTTAATTTGTTACTTTACAACATTGAGAATAAAATTTTCAGAGTTGCAGGTAATTGAACTTTACATTTTGGAATTAATTATAAATAAATTCATCATACAAATTAAACAATCAACTTTTTATGCACAGTAGGCTAAAGAAGAAAACCAAAAATAAAATTTATGAAACATTACTAGTTAGAATGCGTTTTAAGAAAGGAATTAAATAAAGAAATATTCGAAAAGTTTTTCTCATCAACTTATTATTGTAATATCTTTATGCAACTAAATCATGTGATCCGGTGCAAATACAATAAATTGGTTGAGAAACCACTTCTTTTGAAATAACTTCTCGTTTCTTGCAAAGTGTGGACCCGTAATGGTTCATTACAGATGTGATATTTGGATCAAATGTGAAAATAAATGACAATTTAACATGGAGAAAAATATTTTTAAATACCATTTTTAATTAATTCAAAAATTATTTTTTAATGCTATTTTATATTTTGTTACCTTCCATTTGGTCTATCATAAAATCATAATAATGCTACAGAATCGGTTCAAAATTTTCATTGGGATGCTAGTGGCCATGACCGCATTATATTTTCCGATTACATTTATTACATTTATTGGGGTTCGCCGGACTTAACTATTCTTCTTTTTGAAAGACGTCAAATAAAACAAAAAATTTTTCTGATATTTTTGACATATGTTGTGTCAGTTACATTTACAGTACATTACACGTCAGGATGTAAACTCTTTAAATAAATATGTACAATTTCCAGCTTATTCATAAGCCCGTCAAATTTGTCCATACATTGACATCGCCTAAAATATTATTTTAACTTCTTTCATAGAGTAGCATCAAAATAATTTTTTTTTATCAATTTTTAATACAACCACATCTTTCCTAATAAAGTTGCGAGTTTTACGTTCATAAAAACTACTCTGGACGTCAAAAAATACAAAAAAAAAAAAAAAGTACTAAGGATTCCAAAATTCGTAGCACTTTAACAAGTTAATTATTCATTTTTGGATTATTTGGCAAAACACAATTGTAATCCTATTAAAAGTTTTCTTATTTAACGATTAAAAATCATTAATTCACTTTTGCAACGAGAACGAGAACTAGACATTTTGTTTAAAGATTCCATTCCTCTGATAAAAATATCCGATCATAGTGAATGAATGTAGAAAATATATTTTCTCTAATAACTTTTATCGTCGTTTCAATTTAGAATTTGTCTTCATGAGTAATTGAGACTTCCGGTTCGGAAAAAATCAATGATTTTTAGGTCAAAATATTTTTTTATTTTTTGTAGATTTCTATTAATAGAGGCGTTCTAGATCGTTCGAATTTGAAACGAGTCGATCTGAGAACAACAATGATTTCACAATGTGAAACAAAATGAATGTTGCTTATTATTGTTAGTTTATACAGTAAAACAATGAAGATTTTCGTGAATTACATTAAAATAAAAGTTCAATTCATTGTCTCATTTTACGTTATTTTTTGATACTTGGAAATTTCTATTATGGGAATGATAATATATATTTCGACAGAAATCTGAGTGTTCTTTAATATTATAACTTACTAAGGAATAATTAATTGTGGTACAATACTAAGATGTTGCATAATACAATAATTGTTTGTACATTAGTAAAATTTTGAATTTATGAATTTTATCGATCGTAAATACGAATTCGATTTATTATAAATACAACACTGCTCAATCTCTCCAATTTTCCTCATCAAATAAAAGTTCAAAGTACCAACATAACCAATAAAATAATAATTAAAAACAAATTCGATTAATTATAACACCACTTCATTTCTCCAATTTTCCTCATCAAATAAAAAGTTCAAAAGTACAATCTAACAAATAAAATAATTAAAACTCACAAAAAAATAAAAATGAATCCAACCGCTGTTAAAAATATCACAGCTAAACCAATTGTCATTGTTACCTCTGAATTTACAGAAAAACCCAATCCAACAAATCAATGCTCTATAATGTAAACCGTAATATAAATCTTTTCCTGACGGCCTGGTGTTTTACGGAAACTTTAATATGTCAAAGGAACTTCTCGTTATTTCTACTTCGAAAGGAACGGCTTGGTGAAGCTCTTGATGTCAATTAATATTTATTATTTATTAATTTGGACGGTTTGTTAAAATCACGTTACACAACTCGATTTTAATAGCAAAAAGTCCTAAATTCTTATTTATTGTTTAATTTTTGTTATAAATAAAAAATGTAATTTTGCTTTATCTTTATAATTTATTAACATGCATATTTAAATAAAGTTTTATGTCGATGCAATATCGCACATAAATATCGCTTCTGTTCAATGAAACGCTAAATCCAAATGCTAAATATAGAGTAAGTTAAATTAATTCCGCTTATTAGATTATTCTAGCTGAATTCTATGCAAATCGAATTTTAAAATCTACATATTTATATCCTTCAAAATTTATCCTCTAATGTTTTTGCGCGATGATAATGCCCTATTTACATGCGTGAATCGATCATAATGTTTGTTTGTCCATGTTCCTGATGTTAACTGATTTTTCAAAATTGCAGCAATTAACAAATTAGGAAATTTTGTGTAACCTTATTATTATCCTTTGTTTATCTTAAGTAACACAACTAGATTAAATAATCTGTGAATGAAAGTTCTCCAAAGAACCGCCGTGAACGTTCTTCCCGTATGTAACAATAGTGGACGTGTTCGAAAATGTTTTGCTATTAAATAATTATAGTATTTTTTTTCATTAAATATGAAACTTCAAAAGTTTACGTAACGGATAAATGATTGCAGCGACGCAATGGTATATTCAAATATAAACTTTAATTTTTTTTTTTATTTTTGAATAAAATGAATTTTGAGACTTACGAATGATGTAATTTTATATAATAATATACCGTGATCATAATATTTTTTTTTTTTTTGAAGCGTTGAAGGTAGAATATTTTTTTCTGTCAAAATTGTAAACAAGATCAATTAATAAAGTTCGTTCCACATGCTTTTTTTATGGAATCAGTTGGAAAGTGTGTAAAAGTTATTTTGTGTAAAATTACGGTTGATATTTTGAATTAAAAAGGGGATGTAACCTTTTTTTTTTAAAAAAAAAAAAAAAAAATAAGAAAATTAATGGTGGGAATTATAAGTACACTATTACACTACTGTAAAGTATAACTACTTGCTTGCGGTCAGCATTATTTATTTTTAGCGCAATTATTTATGCAATCAACGGAAATTTTACTTGGAGAAATGAAGGAGAGGTTACTGTTATATTATTTCATCTACTATGCTATTTTTCAGAAAATATTATTGATGCAAACAATGTTTGAAATCTTTTTATACAATATATTTCATTATTTTAACGTAATTGACGATGAATGATCAATCGTTTTTCCTTTACTTCCCTTTAGGGTCTTGAATTCAATCTATAAATTTTATATTGCATAACCAAGACTAGTGGTGTTTACGTCAGATGACATCATAATCTTGTGAGTAGTGTAAAAGTTTTTTAAAAATTTATGATAATTCTGTAATTTAGGGCCAGAATTGGTCAATATTTGGTAATTAAATCTAAGTTTTTTTGAAAAAGCATCTGATTACTTTTTGAATTCCGATTATTCAAATGAAAAAGGTTTTAAGAATTATATCAAATATCAAAATGATTTTAAATGATATCGATTATTATTTTTTTTTTTTTAAAAAAAAAGTTTTATTTAAATGACCAAATCAAAAATCAATTTCAATATTATAAGAAAACGTACCATAGTGGAGTTGAGGTACTATAGATCCAATGGAAACAATTCTAGGAGAAACTCGTTGGCGTTTTGTCATAGTTTAATTGGTATGATATTACAAAAATAAATGAGATTGAGAAAAAATTTTTTCGCTATTATTATATAGCCCCGCATTTTTATAATTATTGTTTATCATCATGTGTACTTCTATCACGGATCACGAATTAATATTTATTTTATTATTATATATTTTATTTTTTATTATTTTTTTTTATTAATTTCTTAAAATTTAATTTCAATGTGTTAAAAACAAAAAATGAGTGTAAAAATAAAATTGCATGTTCTAATGGAAATTTCGAAATAGAAATTTATAAATCAATATTTTTCTCACACATTTCTTTTAAACAATTAATAAATATTAAATTTAAATACAATTTACGGTTTCTTTATATAAAGTCGTCTATTAATATTGATAAAACAATATTTGTCGATGGAACAACAACTTTAAAAAAAAGGAATTGGTTGAAGAAAATTATTTAGGTTATAATGAGTAACTGTGTCAATAAATACATACTACTTATTCTTATAATTATTTTATTATAATTAATAATTACAAGAAACGAGATCAGAGTATTCTGTATATATTACTTTATCGAGGGCTTCTTAAATGGTAAAAGCCGGCCTCTCAACTCTAAATTTGGGACTAATCCAAGATTCATAATCCTCCTCGTTATTACTAGCACCAAAAATTTTTAAAGCCTTAATCCTAATAAAGTATTCTCCATTAGAAGCAAGTGTTCCTGTATCGTTTAGATCATAAATTATTCCATTCCATGAAACTATATTATTCGATTTTTCTATCGGATTTTTTACAATTTTAATTCCACTAAATTCTTTAACCCATCCTAAAAACTCTTGATTTGCGTCAAGTATTTCGGTAAAAATCATTTGTGTCGGAGTTGCAAGATATAGATGCACGGATGGTTGATCAATTAGTAATTTAATACTTATGTTAAAAGAAAATGATTTAATTGCATCATCATTTGTGATGAAATTATCAGTCAAATCAGCAAGTTTAGGAAATTCAGGTGTTTGAAATAATGGAAGTGACCTTGCATCATCAGCCAATCCAGCTATATAAAAATGGATAAAAGTAAAAGGATTATTATTAAATATTGAGTAATGATCTAGCAAAAAAAAAAAAAAAAATATTACATACCATAAGGAACGGTCATTGCAGGCATCTTCTCATCCAAAGGAGTTATTACTACCCACCCACTATAAAACCAATGTCCATCTTTAGGTAGCTCATTTGGTGGGGCAAAATTTATGGAAATTTCAACACTAGATCGAGGTGGTACGATAATTTGATCATCATCAAACTGAACTTTAGCATGTTGACGCGTAAAAAATTCCATCTCATTAAATTTACTACTAAGTGTTTTATTATATCCATCAACACTTGGGGCTGGAAAATGCGACAATTTATATTTCATCTCTCTTCTACCACCATTGTAAACAGTTAATTTGTGATATCCATTAAAATGGACA